ACGTGTGCCAAAACCAACAATAATTCTCCTCATCGTCATCAGTACACGTGGCTGACTTCGCGCATATCTTCCACAATATTAAACGCCCAAGTTGAGCAGCTCAGCGTAGTATACGGCAGTGCGACGGTCAGTAATCTCATCAGCTAAGTGCATTCAAGCAGGTTCTCCTCTGCCTAGGAGTCAAACTAGACCGAAACCGCCTCCCTTTGAGCCTCCCGGAGGACAAGCGAATGGGTATGGAGACACTAACGAGGTAGTTGGCGTAAGCGGCTGAGTCAGCTTGCGAATCCGACCTGAGCTAGGGTCAGGCGGGCTGAGCCTAGCCCAGAGCAAGGTCCGCGGGAAGCGGGAACTGAGACCTCTCGGGACTAAGAGATAGCAGCATAGTTGGATCATGGAGGAAGCGCGCCACGCAGATCGTACCCCTTGAACTACTGGCCGCCCTCGCTGCCTCGCACCTTCCCTGCATCATTGAAAGGGAGATCAGCATGTCTATACGTGAGCGGCGAACTAGTGTAGCACGCACTTGTCCGGGACACTTCGGGTCGGAACTTCCCCCCGTAAATTACGTCAAGCTATATATGCAACTTCACACGTAACTGGAAGCAACGAGGTCAACCGTCCCCCGAAGAGGTTCGAAGTGCGACCGAGAGGGAGCTGCAGGAACGACAGGCAGGAAAACGCGGACGGACCCCCGAAGTACCAGCTCTACACAACTGGCTACCAACAATATGGAAGGTGGTGTTTCTACCCCTCCCATGGGCTTTTCTGCACTTGACGGACTTGCTGCGGTGCTTGCTACACCAATAACAACTCGGGACACTGGATCGCCAATCGCAAGTTTTCTCGCACGATTTGGATCATTTTCAACAATGCTTCCGTCTGAGGAGCTGATATAGATTGGCGTGCTTGGTCTATTGAAACGGCTGACTTGTCGACGCACGCGTTGGACACCTTCACTGTTTCCAATAAAGAACTCATGGCCCGAGACAAAAGGTCGTAATGATAAACCAAATCCCAGCAAGGGGAATGAGAGTTAGACTGCATCAATCATCAGCCTCGGTAACTCAGTCGGTAGAGCGCGTGCCTTTTAAGCCCGTGGTCGTGGGTTCGAGCCCCGCCCGAGGTGCTTCCCCTATTTCAACACCGTTTCTGCTCACATACAGTGCCACATACAGCCAGACTCTTCACGTCAAAACTAACAGGAAACTTTCACATGAATTCTTTTATCCCCGACGCATTCCGCTGTGCCTAGCACAAATAAAATACAAAGTAATAACGATTCCCACCATGCCTGCGCCGATAGAAATGTTCGCTCAGTAGAGAGAGAGGACCCAGCTCGACTCAACTCAACTCGACTCGACTCGACTCGACTCGACCATCATCAAAGTCGATCAGATCGGCGCGCGCGGTTGACGGCAAGAGCCGCGTCAACGCAGACTACTGATACCAGCAGTGACTAGCTTCACTCAGCCTTGCTAGAGAAGAGAGTAAATGTTCATCGTAAACTGGTTTTGGGATACTCTGAACTGGCTGGGACTTTCTCACAAAAACGCCAAGATACTATTCCTCGGCCTCGACAATGCTGGAAAGACGACTCTCTTGCACATGTTGAAAGATGACAAGGTGGCCACTCACGTACCTACTTTGCATCCTTGTTCCGAAGAGCTTCTCATCGGCAAAATAAGATTCCGTACATTCGACTTGGGAGGTCACGAGACGGCTAGAAGGATCTGGAAGGACTACTACGCCACCGTTGATGGAATTATTTTTCTTGTCGATGCCGCTGATCGCACGAGATTCCCCGAAGCTGCTGAAGAGTTAAGACACCTTATGGAAAGTCCCGAGCTCCAGAACGTTCCCATTGTGGTCTTGGGCAACAAAATCGATGTGAGAACTGCCGCTAGTGAGGAAGAGCTGCGACAGTCTTTGGGCCTCTACGGGCACACTACCTTCGGTAAAGACATCAACAAGCAAATGGTGAAGAACGCCCGAGAGTCCGGTATCAGACCAGTGGAGGTGTTTATGTGCTCAGTGGTGAAGAGAATGGGCTATGCTGAAGGCTTCAGGTGGCTCTCTGAATTCTTAGATTAGAAGGTGCTTCCTTGTCACTTTATCTGTACTCTTTTCAACAAGGATGTGGTTGCTCGTGTTAGAGTTGTAAATGGTCTATCTGCGAATTTTCATTCTTGTAAATCTACAAGAAATTTTTGGGAAATTCTCCACCGTTTATTTGTTCTTTGTTCAGTGGTGTGTATATAATTTCAAGTCGAATGCTTTTTCAAGTAGTTGTCAACACAGTTATCGCTTCCGCATCCTTTCGCTGCCTTGCAAACGCTTCAAGATTGCACGATGACTGGCAAAGGAAGGGACCAGGGAGCAGTTAACCTCGCTGAAGTCGGCGATGGCTGACGAGCTCTGTGCGTCTACGTGACGGTAGAATACAAACGACTATTAACCGCATTAATGAGAATGACAGATTGAGGTTAGTTTCTTCGGAGTAGTAGAGTATGTGTAATAATTACAGACCAAAATGCTAACCACTAGCGATACTTGAGCTTGGCTGAGAAAATTTGTTAGGGTTGTATCGTAAAAAGCTCTTCCAGGTTGATATGGAGGCGCAGTGGCTCTATGCTCTGCAATGTTGAGTAGAAATGAAAAGCAGGTACAGCGGAGCGAAGCAGGGAGCTTGTCTGTCCTGAGTCAGCCTCCTTAGTAGTGACGGAGCATTTTAGGTTGGAACGCAGTAGACTTGCCAGATCTGACAGGAAGCTTTTAGTTGTGGAAATTATGGAAACTTAGGATGATGGATGAAGAAATTTTTCGGCAGGAAGGAAATGGAGGCGTTGACTTGAGCTGGATTGCATAGTAAAATTACGGACCTTGGTGAAAGGCTGCACCAGCAGCGTTGTGGGGTTTGGGAATATCTAGAAGAGTTCTGAGTCTTTTTACCACCTTTCTTGCGGAACGAAATCTTTTATCGCGAGACGATTATTTCGATTATGTTTTCTAGCTATGACTAGATTGGGGTTGTCGAATTGTCGAAATTTCCCTTGAAAATTGGGAAGAAATATTCCTGGTTTGAACATGTACGTGCTCATGGGAAAACCCATAACCCGTGCGAAATACAGAATGACGTCAGCTGCCTCGGCGCCGGGAAGTCCCGGGTGGCTGTGAGTCGGTAAAGAAAGGGCTAATAAAGGTTGTGGATGATAATACCGAGCGACAAATGGCGGCGTAGGATCGGGCTATTAGTCTTACAGTGTGCCCACACACTGGGCAGGAAGCAGGAAAGAGCTCGTCGAGAGCTTTTGCATGGAACCTCCTGAGTTCGTCTGCTATTCACATGCGCTGGCAGATCATGTCACGTATCCCGATGTGAAAATAAATGTGCATTCGCATCCAATTCACAGTTGAGCGGCGCCGTGACGATTCCGTTGCGCTTGTATAGTCCATACAAGCTGAAGTCCTCAGTTGTCCCCCTACCTTGAAAACTCAACCTCATATTGCCCACTACAGTATGGCGGCCAAGTATGGCCATTCTTTCACCAGATCTCTGCATTTGGCATCAAATAGTTTTCAATGTCGTGATAACACAGCAACGTGAGGGTCTTGTTTTCCTCTGTTATAGTATAGGAACGCACGCGGCTGATTGAAAACACTTCACCCGAGGCTTAGCTTGTGAACTTTGTCCTCGTGCCTTCTCATCCTTATATAGATTAAACAAGCGATATGAACGCGACATGTCGACATCTCGGATGATCGGGAAATATGCACAGAGTCAATCACATATGTTGGTGACAGGATAAGCTTCTGAGGAATTTCATTATATTCCTCTCCAAATTCGTATGTGAACTCCTATATTCAGTGAGGAAGTTGAGGAAAGCTATCGTACACTTCAGCACTGCCTCATGAACCTACAGTTTTGGAGATTCCACTTGAAAGGGATGAGAGGGAATAGTCCACGCCATACGCGAGAGCATCTCCCCAGCTGATTGAGAAAGTTTCAGGTAGAGTGACACTATCGAGCTGATGATGCATTAGTCATCATTCGTTGTTTCCAACACAAATCTCATCGCTCAGAAAAGACACACGCAACTGTAATTTCGTTCGCATAAAAGGTACAAAATAGGAACGAACGAGCATTCACATTATACTGCAGCATTGATTCTGAGAATTCATTCGCTGTATATAGGCATCTTGAGGATAGGGCTGTTGACCATGATATGCTGACTGTTGCGATTGGTTAACCTGAAAAGAGCCGTCACCAACCACCTCATCCACGGTGCCAACATAAACAACAAAAAAGTCGTTAACATGAATGAATGTCGCCCCAAAAGTTTTGGGCTAAAACTGTGTTCTGCTGCCTATAAGATCAGGACGAGTTAATGCTCAGCGAAGTATGAGAGCTTTTACATCCTGGGAAATTTCATTGGCTGGATTATGCGACCAGTTCGAAGTCAAACGTAGACAATATGCGAAGCACAACTGATATTTCCATAAAACTCTTATACAAGCGATCTCTTTGAAGCCAATATGCGATCATTACATTGACATAAGGCATAAATACAAACGCTTGCGACTCAACATTCGAAGTTCAGGAGTATATACCCAACGCAATTCCACTTGAGGCGGCACTCGAACGATTAACTTACTTGTGGATTGCCTACGGCATTCTGAGCACCAGCAAAATTGAGTGTCATTTGACTGCCGAGTAGTTGAGCGGTAGGCGTTCGTATCAACCGCTGAAGATCCGGTACTGTGTCCTTCCAAATTGTGCCCTGAAACGTTTTCAGGTTCTAACCTGTTATTAGCTAGACATGACCAACCCTTGAGGATACGCCTAGAGCGTGGAATCCGAAATTTCCTGTTGGATTGCGAGCCAACCGAGCAATGATGAGAGCACTCTGCTGCCCGGCATCACTCAATCGATAGCGACACAACTCCGCGCCGGTACCTATCATCAGATGAATACATTAAGAGCACAATTTCTGAGTATTGTCCAAGTTATTCATGGATTTTTGGAACAAGATTTTAAGTTCTGATATCAAGCCAATTAATGGGCGACCCAGTTGGCAATTAAATCACGAACGCAAATACCCTCTACTGATTGACCAGGGTCCACTTGCGGGAGGTTATATATCGTATAATAACGATTTCCAAGCGGTTGAAGACTCTCAGCCCCAGACAATCTCTGTGATTGATCGTCGAAGAGTCACAGCTCTGAACTCCTCGCTGTTCCAGTCCATGTTAGGCAAACTGGCTATCGCGAACATTGTTCGCGTCGCGAACCTCGCGATATCACATTCCTTAAGTAGTTAGCACTGCTTGAGCACATACATGAGACTCTAGTATGAAGTATAAATTATGTAGAGACTACACGTATCGTAGAGACTACGCAGGTCCCTACCAAGGCCTCTGGGCAAGAAATACTTCTTAACAATTCCCACCCAACTCCGCTTCGCGTGGACCAGACCCGGATCTAAGAAGCCTTATTTAAAGGCCTCTGTCTTCGGAACAGTCCACGGTCGTGGAGGTGGGGGAACGAAGGGATCGACGACAAGTGGACAATACCCACCTGTAATAGAATTTATCGTCGTTGGTTAGCCGGAAAAGGCTCACCCCTGTGTGTAGCATCCGACCGTTCTTCCGACTCACGGGCTTGGGTGGGGGAGGGGTTGAGGGGAGAGAGGGGTTGTTACACCACCGTAGTTGCTAACTTAGCAGTATCTTGTGAGAAATATGGCACTCCCTTGACGCTTGACAAGTAATCAGCGGGAAGAACACTCTATCCGGTGCATTGAGAGCGCTTAGTCTGTGGAAGTTAATTCCAGAAATACGTTCCTTCGAGTAGCTTCCCGGCTCATAAGCCTCAGAGAGCCTGGAAGGCAACTTGAAGGCAAACATCCTTGGACTTCCTAGTCTGGAGCCGACAGTTCCACTAGTGTTCGGCTCAGGCGCAATTCTCGTTGCACCATTGCACACCTGGGTTGAATCCCAGGCTGAGATTCAGTGATGGCCGCTACAACTCCAAGCTGTTTCCAAGCTCTCTCTCTCTCGAAAGACCGAATAAATCTCATGCTAATTTCGGCAGCTATCATCAGAGAACATAGAGCACGGGAGCGAAATCGGTATCGCCGTGCGACTGCATAGTTTGAAAGTGTAACATGAAATAGCTGAATTCCAATACTTGTGGCGTTCTGAGCGTTGGACAACCAACTTGGTCGTTGGATGCACAGCCAAACACAACGACATGGTAGCTCAGGTGATCCGCCTTGAAGACAACCGTTCAGAGATACAGATGTGCATTGCGAGAGGAATTACGAGCAAACGCGAGTGAGCTACAGAAGAGAACAGAAGTCTCAAGCTTCGAACTGTCTAAACTTTTATCCTATACGAATAAATTTTTGAGAATTTCTGTCAATTGACCTAACTTCTGATACCTAGTATATGAGTCTTACTTGCATCCACCACTCTACAGTACGGGTTGGCAACTTGCGCAAATGTAATGCCTCTCCTGAAAGATACTTTCTGCGCACAGCGAAGAATTCCACTCACGTGTAGATATTGATAACGAAAAAGACGTTGAAGACTGATGGGCCGATCTGGTTCATATTCAGAATGATTTGTTCATCATCGCCACTTCCCTCGCCCGTCAGATTATCTCCAGTGTGCACCACAGCGCCTGACGGAAAATCTCAGAAGAGAGAGCTGAAACGATGCTCACCAACTGCACTATGAGGTCTCTCACTACGAAGATTCCCGAAGAAAACAGTTTCCAGTACTTCGCCTAAAGAATGGATGATTCTGTCGAACCAGGAGCGCACAAGTCCTACCTGTCTGATCCATCAAAACACAGCTAACATCCAGGTCAACTTGGCCGAAAGTCGTATCCCAGCCTAGTCCGCAGACGATTTGCTGCGTCTGGAAAGAAAAAGGACAGTTGGAGTTTGACCAAGACTTCAGAATTGAAGTGAAATCAGCTCGTCTTTCCAACGTCTACTCTCTCTTTATGCTGTTCTAGTGTTGGGAAAATTTTGTCTAGTATGAATTCGAAAAATATTAGATTCTCGCGCTGGGAATTTGCATCCCGTGAAAATTCGAAACTTTGCCCAACTATTCCGCAGAGAGATCTGAACTTTCCCCAACCCTATCACATTTCTGCCAAAATCAAACACGTTCCCTTTCTGCATTTGAAAGTTAACTGCGCATACCGCGTTCTGCCCAGAAGCTCCAACTCCGGGAATGTATCGTCGCACAATCTGAAAAACCGTACCGTCGACCTATTCTGTACCATCCTGAAAAGAATTACCTGTGTCAGCGACGGCAATACATCCATGAAATGCTGACCATCGCAAGGCTCACTCAACGCGTCGAACACGAATCCACCGTTGTATGCACCTGAAATCGTTCGATCTGATTTCCACGATTCAACTAACCAACTACGTGAGAAGGCTCCCACTATAAGAGCTCTGAATTTTCCGTATTGGTTCATCGCCGATCGAAAAACCTGTTCGGAAAATTATTTTTCTACTTCAAAAAAATCTTACCGGACTCCGCGTTGATTCGTCCGTCACAACAACAGTACCACTTTGAACTTGGCCTAGAGAGCCTCCGGTGTAGCAAAACACCGCGATGATTATCAACGGCACATTCTGAGGCATTTTCGATCTGATAAAAAATACGACCATGTGACAAAACTCACAAACTGTTTTCGAGCGACACTTTGTGGGAAACCAATGTTAAAAGAATTCTGACGAGTGCTGATTCGATACGATATCTTTCACAACAGCAACGAAGGATTGATATAGCTTCAACGACGCTCAGCTCGGAATATATACTTAATCTATGAGTGTTCACCAATTCAACAACTGTTTTTATTACAAATTTAAAGTCACTTTCTCGTCAACTCCGTCTTTTCTACCGTCCAACTCATCGCCGGAATGGACCAGTGCTTTCCCTAGCGCTTTAAGGTTATTATAATATGCGCAGTCGACAATTACACCTGAACTGTAATCAGTGTGAACGAGGACAAGAGAGAATCTATAGGCACAACTTGAAAGATACGGAAT